GAATGAGTGTGGAATTCTGCTGTCTACTCCTATCACAGGAATTAGAGTTTGTACTTTAGTGCTGTGCTGCCAGAATGCTGGAAATGTTTGGAAATGTTTCTCTGTTTCCTGTAATCCCTGCTTGAGGTTTTGATCTTTTAGGTTTTGGAGGAAAAAGAATAAACGTGGAAACGGATATAAAAGCTTCCTGTCTCATGTTTATGTATGTTTTTATTCTCAAATTGTACTTACACCAGGCAGCTGGAGGAGGACAGTTGCAGTCTGGGAATGTCGTTAGAGCTTTGTGGAGGGAAACCAGTTGGGGAACAGCAATGAAGCAAACAAGGGATGAGTTTTTAGGGAGAGGTGACCTCATTTCCTATTTATTGCTGTGTCAGAAAAGCTGTATGGAATACACTTAATATTTGTGGAAGGTTATGTGCTGTGTGGCACTTGCAGTTTATTTTAGCAGTGCTTTCAGTAGCAGTTTTATTGTTCATGGCCAACAACATATTTTTAGGTTTAACTGGGATGATTTAAATAAATGTATGCTGAAGGGGAGCTTTAGTGTTTGGGTTTTTTTTGGGGGGTTTAAAATGTAGTTGTAATTTATCTTTCTACTTTTTGTCTTTTCTAGTCTCAAGATTAATAATACTTAGCTGATGATGGACTCCACTTCCTATGGAAATAAACTTCCTATTCAACTGAACAATATTATATGACAACTGTTTTTTATGTCGTCTTCAGAAAGATGAAAATGGCTCTGTTTGCCTTTTCTGTTGTCTCTGGATGTCTTTATCTGCTTAATTTTTGTTCATTCTTTTTGTAGCACTGAAAATAGGGTGATGTGAGGGAAGGATCAGGTTTTATAATCTGAGTTAAGGCAAAGAGTTGTGGGGAAACAACTAAGAAAATTTATTAAAAGGTGATAAAATACTTGACAAAATACTTGAAAGTGAGGAGAAGGCAAGTCACTTTAGCTTGGAAGAAAACCTTTAACTAAAATAACCTTTATTTTGAATTCTTGTCACACTTGATTTCTCACACTGCAAGTCTTTCATAGCTGCTTAGCTGGGGTGAGCCAAGTGATGCCTTCAGTGAGGAGACAGAAGCAGAAGTGGCAGGGGGGTCCTCATCACCACCACAAAAAAATAA